CCCCTCCCTGCTTCCCTCCCCCTTCCTCTTCCTCTCTCCCTTCCTCTCCCCTTCCCCTCTTTCCCCTCCTTTGTTCTGCAGTTACCCCTCCTGGCCCCACAGCTCTCTTCCTTATTTATTGTGTGGCAACTTCACCATATCTGACTGCATTTTGTTTTGTGACTCATACATTTTGCCTCTGCTGATGTGTCAGGAGCCTTGGGAGTTGTTGAAACATTGTCATTTTGCACAGGAGGAAATGGACAGGTGATAAATTTTTGAATCCCTCTGTTAATTTTACAATAGAATTCAGAGGTTTGTTTTTCAGAAATATTGATATTGAGTGGTTTGTGGGGAAAGGTCAGCTTCTCCCAGAAATGCTTTTCCACATATGTGCAATTTTTCCAGATTGCCAAATGTCTCCAGCCATCTGATAGAAAGGACAGGACTGTCATAAGAGACCAAATCATTACTGACAAGAAGTGTGGTCCAACACAGATGTGCTCAGAGCTCTGTTCCTACCCCGGTTCTAGAGAATTGAATGTGGCATTTTTTATTCTTTGAACTTGCAAAGAATGCTTGGGGATCCCCATGTACTTTATTCTCACAGATCTCCAAGTGGTGGGCAGTGGGGTTTATATAAAGGTGGAGGGTGCAGGAGGGGCAGGAAAAATCAGAAATGAGGGGCTTCTCTTAAAATAACTTGACCCTTTATTTTTCACTTTGTGAGGTTTTTAACTTTTTGAGTTGAGTTCCACTCATATGACATCAGAACATTAGGTTGCGCTCTGCAGCCAGCCATGCATTCGTGGCATGACCTTGGGATGTGGTAACTACTTTGAGCTTCAACTTTTCTAGCTACAAAATGATCATAATGTCTTTCCTACATCATCCGGGCTAACTTGAATATCTAGGAAAGAATGTATGACAAACTTGTCCCGAGCACCTTCAAAGAAAGTTATTTTGAAAGGTCAGTAGTTACAGAAAAAGCTCAGGGCTGTCCACCTCTGCACTGTGCAGGCTGAGCAGGCCTCCCTGTCCTGCATTCCCAGCATATTTACTTTCTGAGTAATCCCACCAGCTCCACTAAATGGAAAAATTGAGCTTTCACAAGGGTTTCAAGCTTCTGCCCACACAGATATGGAAGTTAGCATTGACAATGTGGGAAAAGGAGAGGCTTCCTTTCCCTGTACAGTTTCTACCTTCAGACATACCCAGTGCCTAAAAGAGATCCACTTTGGGCTCTGTTGCCCTGGGTGGAGGGAACAAAGCCTTTCCCTCCCTTACTCTAGACTTAGACAGTATTAGAGCTAAAAAAACTCACCAGGCCCTGGTCCAAGTGTCTCCATTTACAAAGGAAACTGAGGCCCAGAGGGGAGAAGTCCTTGTCCAGGGTCCCACAGCAGTTTACTGGCAAAGGCTGAGCTGAACCTGAACCCAGGTCTGCTGAGCCCCAGGCCACAATTTTCTTGCCACTCCATTCTACCTCATGAGGCCTATGCCAGGGAAGCCAACCAGAACCATAGGAGGGAGAGCAGAAGGAAAAGGAAAGGAAGTGATGGACAAGGAAGGAGGCTTAGAGAAACTTAGCCAGGTCCTCCCCTACCCTGCCCCTTCATCCACTTATAGGGCACCCCTAGGACTCAGTCACCTGGAAGATTTGAGGGGTTGCCCACAGGTGCCTGCCCCACTCTGAGCCTGAAGCCATAGCAAGTGCCAGGCTGGGTGCTGAGTCCCTAGGGCATCACACAGTGAAAACAGGCTCCAGTACCTCCGAGGTCACTTTAGGGATAAGGCAGGGGCTGGCAGGGAGCTCGGGATGTTCCTGCCCAGTCGGGCAGGGACCCTGGAGGAGGCATGGTATTCACTGGGAGGAGAAACCTGGATGCTTGGCCAAGGAGCAGCATGGGGAAGTGCTGGGGAGGCTGACAGGCTTTGGAGTCAGACTGACCTGGGTTTAAGGTCTAGCTCTGAGTGACTCTGAGCAAGTTACTTAACCTCTCTGAAGTTAACAGTAATTTCTCCCTTCTGAATAATACGAGGAGCAAATGAGATGATGTTATAAAATAACTAAGTGTTCAATAAATGTTAGCAAAAATCACAATGAACAGTAAGGAATTTGGTGGCAGATAGCAGCAGGTGCCAGGGCCCCTTCCATACCTGCCCCATGGGTGGTAGTCCCAGTGGTGGTCCCATCAGTCCCCTACAAGCCCCCACTTTACAGTAGGTGATGTCAGTAGCCCAGGAAGGCCAAGGAGCTCATGGTTAGAACACTCTGCAAGGCAGTTTCTGATCCCACCTTTGCTCTCTTTCTTCCAGATTCATGTGTTCCCAGCTGCCCAATCAGGTCCTGAAGAGTATCAGCATCATCGACAGCCCTGGCATCCTGTCTGGAGAGAAGCAGCGCATTAGCCGAGGTCAGTGCCCCCCACCCCGCCTCCTCCAACGCTGGCCAAGACTCTCTCTGCCGTTGGCAGAGGATTTCTGTCGCTAGTGTATTCTCTCCATGCTCCAGGACACCCCCAACATTCCTGGGCAGCCCCAGGATCCAGAGGCGCAGGGGCCCCAAGAAATAACCAAGGAATCTGGCTAACCATTCACTTGGACACATATGACAAAAAATAAAGGAGGCAAGCTAATGACAACAAGGGCCAGAGCCTTCCCAGCTGCTCTTCCTCCCTCCCCCATTGCACATATTCCACCCAGTTGCCCCCTCGGCATTCTTTCATTGAGCGTTTACTGGTATGTACTTGGCGCCAGACACTGTACTGTGCTCTGTGAGTGCAGCAAAGCAGGTGCAGTTTCTGCCCTCAGAGCTTATGTTCTGTTGAGGAAGACAAACGTTAATCACATTTTCACAGAAATAAATAGAAAATGAGAGCTGGGATAAGTGCTCTGAGATGGGGCTGTATATCAGTATAAGGGGACCTAGCCTGGCCGTGGGGTGTTGGGAAAGGCTCCCAGAGGACATGAATTTGAGCCAGAATCTGGAGGATGACCAGGAATTACCTGAGGGTAGCTCGGGTGGGAAGGAGAGAGAGACTGCACGGTATTCAGGGAAATTGATGAAGAATAGAAAATGCTCGTCAACAACAGTGAGGTCGGCATCTTTAGCCTTCAGGAAAGAAGGTTGAGGCAGTCACTGTTTCCAGACCCTTGCACTGTGGTTAAACAGATGGACCTGCTTTCTCTCCCACCCTCTTGGAGAAAGGGGACATCCGGGGCAGACCAGAGGATACAATTTACTTAAAGAAGGGAACTTCCTGACTGGGAGGGCACCATAATGGATTCCTATGGCCACAGAGACAGGTCAAGTTCCCTTTATCCTGGCCCTTGAAGCAAAGGATAAGCCCTCCAGGCTTTGCTGGGAGGGAGAAGATGGAGCTGACAGCTCTTCACCACCCCTTGAACAGCAAGTCAGTGAAACTATGCTGAACACTGCATGGCCATAACCCATGGCCATGATCCCAGCAGGGACCTGTCTGGGGTCATGGCCATAACCCATGGCCACGCAGGGAACTCCCATGGTGCTCCTGAAGCAGAAGTGTAGTTACAGAGGCCACAGAGAACTAGAAAGTAAGTGTCCCAGGAGAGGGGTAAATAATGGACTTCCCTTGTCCGAGCACCCTCCTTTCTCGTGGCATTTCAGAGATGCTGACCGCAGCCTCCAGGGACTCTCCGAGAGCTCAGGGCTGCCTGATTGTGCCTCACGCATTTGGCCAGGGGCTCAGTGGGTCACTAGGCTGCCCTGAGGCCTGCAAGAACATTACACTTATAGCAGAAGTCAGGCTAATGCTGTTCTTTTCTCTTAACTATCTTTGTCAGTTTTATTTTCTGTTGTAAAAGTAATGTTTATTGTAAAGTATTCAAACAATGAGTAGAATGTAACAAAAATCTCCCTCTGTCACAAATGACAGTTATTAATGATTTTCTCTGGCTCCTTAGAGACTCTTTTCTATGCATATACAACATATCATTTTTAACAGAAATGTGGTCACTATGCACATTTTCTACAGCTTGATTTTGCCCTAACAATCTGTCACAGACATCACTCCATGCCAGTATATTCAAATTACTTTATTCCATTTAATAGCTGCTTAGGCTTCGTCAAAGGGATGTAAAATAGTTTATTTAGCTAATTTGTAGATAGTGTGATGGTTAAAATTTTTTCACTCTTACAAATAGTGCTATAGATAGACATCTTTTTGTATCTTTACACCTCAGTGCCAATAGTTTTTTTTTAAGAGCCAGTTTAGGACCATTAACTGGCCCCATGAAAGTTACTATGCAGATAAAATGTTTTGTTTTAGCCCCGGCCGAGCTTAGCTCAGCAGTTGAGCGTCGACCTAGGATCCAGGCGATCGGGGTTCAATTCCTGATCAGGGCACATGCCCAGGTTGCGGGCTGCAGCCGATCAATCACTCTCTCATTGATGTTTCTATCTCTCTCTCCCGCTCCTTTCCTCTCTCTGAAATCAATAAAGATATATTTTTAAAAAAAATTTTTTTAATGTTTTGTTTTAAAAGGAAAATAAACCCATGTTCCACAGCTTTTCCAAGCTTCCCATGTTTCACTACTTATACATGTCTGACTGAGGTTTGCTGGAGAAATATGTGGTCCTGGTAATAAATCTTTCTTTTTTACTTTGAAGTTTTAAGACCTAGATTGTAGCTTCAACCTTGTCCACTTCTTTTCATTGGTAGGTAGGCCTTTGGCCAATTCTAATCACCCATATTCTTCAGGATTTCTCCTTTGCTTAGTAATTGTAAGTGTCTTTCAAACTGTAGCTCCTTCGCAGCAGTGTTGCCTAGCATGATGCTTTCAGGATGCTTTGAAGATCAGTCCTTTTTAACACTTTATAATAGTCTGACTCATATCCTGGTCTGGCTTACTGTGACATGTGCTTACACACATCCTATGCACAGAAATAGCACATGTGGTTCCAACCAGTCGGCTGGTCCCTGGCACCCTGAAAAAATAGCAGCTGGTGAGGAAGGACAGAGCTTCAAACAGTGATAGCAAATACGCGAAGGGCCAGTGTTCCCCAGCTCTAGTATCATACCGTATTTGGGCACAGTTGGTGGTTGGAGTTACTCAGCTGACAGTTCCAACGCATTAACCCCAAAGAATATATACTGTTTTAAAGCTGCTTCTGCTTAAACTATTGCAAACAGTGCTACAGCCTCACACACGCTCATATCTACTTGCATCTCCCCAGCTTCCTAGATCACAATACCCACTTCGTCAGGCACTTAAGTCAACATGGGGTGAGGAATGAGGTGCAGAACACTTGAACCTGCATTGACTTAATAAGTGGAGCTGTGCCTCCCTTACAGAGCTGTCTGTGAAAGAGGAATGGTGGCAGCTGCTGTGCCTTCTCCTTGTCCCTTTATGCAGTCGATGTGTTAACCTTCAACAAGCGGTCTCACCACGTGGGCCCCTCTTACACATTTAAGGCCGCTCCTTGAAGTGTGTATCCACAGTGGTGCTATGAGAATGGCCACCATGTATTGAGCTGTGTGTCTACACTGTGCTGATCATTTAGGATCTGTATCTAAGTTACATACAGTTATTCGCAGGCAGAAACTGAGCCCTGGCCAAGGAAACCCTCCTCATCCTTACTCCCCTTGGAAAGCAGAGCCTTCCAATGAGCATGAGAATTCTTTCCCCAGTGCTGGGCAGATGGGTGATGGAGCTTGACATCTGGGGAGTGGTCAGAGTAAAAACTGTTGAGAAGGCGCCAGTTTTGGAGAACAGGCTCAGAGGAAGAGTGCTTCAGGCAGTCGCTGGAGGCTGAAGCTGCGGTGTGGACCCTGTCCACCCTCTAGCCTGCAGGGCTGTACAGCCCCAGCTGAGAGCATGCTGGACAGATGGTGCAGCTGCAGGAGGAGGTGGCAAGTGTGCGGTGGCTGCTGAGTATCCCCCAGGAGGACCTACTGACTACACCACACCCGGAGTTCTCCCCATCAGCATGGGACAGACAGGTGGCAGGTGGAGTGGTGGAGCATTGTGCTGCTTTGCTGGGGGTCAGATGGGGAACGGGGGACCTGAACTGGGGAGCTGGCATTGCCCAGGTATCTCAGAGCTCTGGAGAACAGATGCTCTAGTGAGGGTGCGTCTCCATGAAGGAGTCCTGATGCCTCAGTAGTAAAAGCAAAAATGGAGACTCTGACCCAGCTGGCATGGCTCAGTGGTTGAGCATCAACCTAGGATACGGGAGATCATGGTTCGATTCCCGCTCAGGGCACATGCCCTGGTTGTGGGCTCAATCCCCAGTCAGGGGCATGCAGAAGGCAGCCAATCAGTGAATCTCTCATCACTGATGTTTCTCTCTCTCTCTCTCCCCCTCTCCCTTACTCTCTCTCAAATCAATAAAGATTTTTTTTTTTTTAATGGAGACTCTGAACTTGGGGTTCAGTCACCTGCCTCACCTCACCTGTGGCCCATTCTTCCTTGATCAGTCTTCTCTCTCATGACATCATAAGCCTAGTTCCTTTTTATTTTGTGCTGAATAGAGGGGGCAAGTGTGACTACAAGGAGGACATGGCATTTCGCAGACATTGCTCTTCTCTAGGCCAAAGTTATAGGTGTTAAGAAGAAGCACTTGACATTTCTACAGGCTGGTTTGTATTTTGAGGTGTTAGGGTTGAGGCAAAGCATGGTAAACCACTCTTCTGTTAGAAGTGACCTTTACCCATTAGAGTGTGTCTTAGCACTGCCTTCTCATCAGCAGAATCTTCACACTGACCCTGAACATCACGTCACTGCACTTCTTGCCTCCCTGCTCTGTGCTCCAGGAAAATCAGAGTGCAGAGTCAGCATTTGGGAGAGTAAATCTCCTGTTTGGGAGCTCTATAAATAAAACCCACTAGGGTAGTGACTTTGGAGCAATTTTTAGTATTCTACTCCATTAGAAAACCCATCACCTTTCAAATTTTCCTTAGTTTAATTATAACTGGCATAAAATCTTTAAAAACAAACGATTGAGCTTAGTTACTAAACTGTAGCTTTCTTGGCTGACATAAAAGATTCCTATCAAGCAAGGGTAAAAATGTTCTGATGTATTGATAGTAATTTTATTCTAATGAAGTAATAGCTACCTAAAAGTTCTACAGACTTTTTTGATTCTTTTCTTGTAGCCAATAAAAGAATATCTGGATTCTTAAGATTTTTTGGATTATTTTTTCGAAGTGGGTGGGTGAAATCTGACTGATTTACTCTTGAGAAACACTCTTTGCCCCTGATGACAGCATTCAGATTTTTTACTCTTTTTTTTTCTTGACTCTTTTTTGTGTGTGTGATGAGAAAAGAGCACATGTATTCACACATCCTTATTTTCATTCCCATTCTCTTATTATTCTGGCTCCTGGACTGTTTGCGTCCTAAAGTACTGTTTATTTCATGCTGAACCTAAACA